TGAAAGTGCTTGTCATGCGTGGCGATTATAGAGATAAACAATTCGGCTGAGGTAACCATGTCCAGCTACGGAATAGTAAGTATGACAGGTTGTGGATGACTATTAATAAATTCCATATTTATTTCATTGCGTTATATGGCAAACGTTATTTATTTTTAGCAGTATTTATGTAAATAAGACAATGAAGGATTGCTCTGTAGTGCTTAATTAGATTGTTTCATCATACAATGGCTTATCATTGACTTTCGGTGTTGAGGTCCGCGGGTTAGAATCCCGCGCGAAACGAGTACTTGTATGGCCTACAAATAATTGTTCCACGTCTGGATGTAAAATGTTAGTGTTGGTAAATATGGGTGTACGTGGTTGAGTCATGCTGCAGATATTACTATGGTTGTAGCACGAATGTGTCGGCTCGACCGGGGCAGGACCACGCTTTAGAAGATTACGAGAATACCGACCTATAATCGTCACGGAGTAAAACCTGGCAGACCGAGTTCGGTATATCCTGCGCTCAAATATATTTGATGTCGCCGAACTCGAACAACTACGACGTGAGGCTGCTCCCTCATCGGATGAAAATGCTACGGCTGAGAATTATTCTGACATTGAAATTTATGGCAAACGGGTTACATAAGAATATTTCGCAGTCCAGTTATATCCCAACATTATTTTATAAGAGTGTAAGAAGGATTTTATTCCTACTCTAATTATATCCTTTCTAACAACTTCTTCTCCGTGTACCAATCTACATCCTATATTAAGATTACCCTTAAAAAAAAACAGAAAAACTTTTCAACTTCAATTTAAAAAGGTATACTTTGACATATTTGTGATTATTATTATTGATTATCAATAGTAACATTTACGCCGCCACGTCACGGATGAGTGTCACAAGAGATCATTTAGATATGCTATATATGACAATCTTGTGGCAAGACCAGAAAATGGCGATATAATAACTTATCCTTTTTAAACCTAGCTAAACTAACTATCGATTCTGCACGTTCCTTCTGCTTATTTTGAAAATAATATGAAAAAAATATGCGGGAATTTTCTAGTGGTGCAATTCCGACTAGTGTCTTACCTACGATGTTTTCCCAAACCTTTATATTAAGTTTATTTAAAAAATGTCACAAACTTTATTTTTCTTTTGCAGTTAAGATTTTCTAGTACCCAGTTGACCGAGCTTTGCTCGGTATTTTTCGCTCGGTTTTTTTTTAATTCGTGTGTTTTGGAAATTATATTTAGATGCAAATTACATACTGATGAAATACGAATATTTTTTGATCTTAACGACATAATTGAAAAAACTGAACTGGTTATTTGAATATAAAATCATGAGTGCAATTACTTTAATTTAAATTTTCGTGTTTTTAAAAAATACTAAAAAAGGGGCTCGAAAAAATATGGATTTTCTCAAAAAAAGAAAGGAGCTTAAAAAAAAAAATTAAAAAAAAGCCGGTCGGTCGGTCTGGACTCGAACCATGGTATTACGATTTTGTGACCGACCAATATACCAAATAAGCCAATTGTAATCATCAGTAAACTGTCAAAATTTACCTTCTTATTATAACGATATTGTAGCAGTTTTTCATTGCCTAAAAACACGGACAAAAAGACATTTTCTAAAAATAAATCCTAGCTAGATCGATTTGTTGCCCCCGAAACTCCCTGCACACAAAATTTTATGAAAATCGTTGGAGCCGTTTCTGAGATTCCGATTATATATATATATATATATATATATATATATATATATATATATATATATATATATACAAGGATATAATAGCACAGAATATATAATAGATAGTGATCTACTTCAATGCGCTATTATATGTAATTGGTAGATATGTATAATATAAAAATATCTTTTTACAGAATAAGGGTAACAAACGAGCAAACAATCCACCTGAAGGTAAGTGGATGCTGTGGCCCATAGACGTCTACATTTAACCTCGATTAGAAATCAAAACGCAGATGCGTTGTCACCCCTGAGGTTGTGACTAAGATGGAATGCCTCCAAGCCAGTAAAAGAGAAACTAAACTTATTTCCAGAAAACTAACTTATTTAACCACAGAAAACTTTGGTTATCGTGACGGCAATGCATCTTGGCAGTGTTTTCTTTACCGCATCAAACGTTTAAAATAAGCTGGTCCACATATTCTTAGGGCCCTAACGATGTTCTATAACCTACGCATACTAAGAACATTTGTGACAAGTCCAACGACAGGCTGATTTCTCATGCTACTGTCATTGCAAAAGTACTTGACGGTATGCCTAATAATCTACTCGATAAATACATAAACCTATACGACAACGAGTTTGGTTTCAGACCTGGTCTTTCTACGGAATCAACCATATTGTTTTCGGAGCAAACAGTTAAAATATTATTCGGAGCAATGCACGTCAGTTAGTGCCTGTTTTCTTGATCTATCCGAGGAATTTGACGTGGTAACTTACGATATCTGCCATGTCAATGTCGTGCGATGGTCGGACAATTATGCGAAGCCGTACAGGTTGGAGTGTAGGGTGGGAAGGAGGGGCTCAACCTCGCCTATCTCTTAAACAATCAACAATGTCAATGCGCTGATAGAGCGCTCAGTAGTACACATGTCAAACTGTTTGGCATCTGTGAGAATTATACCAACAGTCATTACTTGACTTACAATTTCAATAATTTCTCAAAATCTTTCACTCCAAAGGAAAATCACTATCTTCCGCTGTACTTTCTTACAACATTTACGGGACTCCGCTGACGAAAGTGGAATGGTCTAAATATCTCCTCCAGAGGTATATCCTCTGATCTGAAAACCGAAACATCGCATCGCGATATATATTCAGATGCGAGATATATATTCCGATTCTGCAGCTCATTAGGGATGTTTGCAGAGGCGTGTGTAGACTGCTTTTACACGACTACGAAAACGTTGCACATAATTGTTGCACCGGGTTAGGGCCAGTTCCAAATAAGTACTCAGGGCTGGTTTTCTGAGAGATGCGATCGTTTGTACTAAAACCAGTGCTGTATGGCTCGCGTGCTGACAAATCATTTCTGTCTCCGGTTGTTTAATTATATTAAATATATGGGTTTATATTTATATTAATTATATATGGGTTTAATTTTACTAACAAATAGCTTAAAGATACCTACTTGTATTTTTAACACCTCTCGATGTTCGAAATAAAATATTTTAAATTAATTTATTAGTTATAATTTGTACAAGTATACATTCAGAATCCTTGCAGTTTTTACATCTTCCTCTGCAAATAAATTTGTTAATCAAAATTAGATAGTCGGTATCATTGCACAATTAATACCTACTTTAATTTTATGTACCGAGTTGGAGACCGGAAATGGCGTGAAATATTGTTACGAGCTTAGGGTTCGTGACAATAAAGACTACCGATTGAATTACCAAAATTGACACTTTAATTACTGAACACCAATTAAAACTTTAATCACACTAATAATTAATCACACTTAACACTTTAGTTCACTTAATTTCGCTCCGAAAGCTTCGCTCGTATTGCCAATTCAATACTGCCCCGGTCGCGGCCCTAAACGGCTTTATATAGGCCTTTTCCACCGAAACATCTAGAATGTTCCAGCAAATACCGGTCCCGACCGACTAGATGTAGAAAATTCGAGTGTGGAGTTTTCTAGAAAGCTTAGTTATTCTATTCGATAATAGATGGCGCTAGTGCCATGTGCCAGACAACAACTGTGGCGCGCAACAATATCGTGAGGAATTCTGAATATTTAAGAAATAGATAGGGCATAAGGGTCAGTCCCATTAGCACTACGGCAATGTGATGGACTTACATATACTATGTATAGGCTGCTAACTCTGTAATAGTAAAAATCTGAATCGAGATGCAATGAATTCTTTGTTTCGTTATTAAACTCAAATGGTTCTTGATTTCAATTCATTTTAAAGATTGGCTATAATCCTGAACTTAAACTGAAATCAAATTGAAAATCAGGCATTTCTTGTTAAAACAACGGTGTCATCTTAAGCTTTTGTTTGTATTTTTGATTTTATAGTATTACATTTTTCGTACATTATCAATATAAACAAGTAAAAAATTTAAATTGCCTTTAATACAATAAACAAGGTCACATATTTATCGTAATGTAAAAATACTTTTTTTCTCAGTTTAACTATGTTTATTTGTTTGTTTAACTACTTTAAATAATTTAAGACAGCAACGAATTAATGAAACAATAATGTAACCCGCTTGTCTGAAATGGTTTGTTGAAATTTTTATTAAGAAAAGAATTAAGTAAATACGCGAATACAATACGATGACATTGTCTTATCAACCAAGTAAATAAATTAAGGCACAAATGATTCACACTTGGGGGCCAAAATAAAATAATTTGTACAGTCTTTGTATTCCGAAAATCGTAATCGATTAATACTTGATGGCTGCAAAAACTTTACACAACCATGGCACTTCTACAAAAATATATCGAAACAGGCTTTATCAGCGTGCCTTGAATAATGAATAGGCTTTTTTTAATAAATATATTAATATGAAACTCCTTCCCGCATATTCTTCTGAGGGTTGTCCCGTTTAATGCTTTTTACAATGTGACATGAAACTTCCTAAAGCTTTCTACAAGCAAGCATTTCCTGCACTTTTTGTATATTTTTCGTTCATCATCATACATTGCTTCATGTATGTATGTATCAGTTGCAACTTTATTGACACAACACAAACGTATCAGTGAAACACTTCAATGGACACAATTCATTCGATACATTCGGACTCCCTTTTGTATAGTGGCAGAGGCTACAGTCAGAACGCTCTCGAAACATCTAGACGTTTCCTGAACGCTTTCAACGCGTGTATAAATACAATCGCCGTCAGCGCTCGCCTCAGTATTCTTTAAGACGAGCTTGTGTATGTAATTTTGCACGTGAATTTTTCCCGACTACATCGCGTCAAGTGAAGTGCAACTGTGATAGATTTTTGTGATTATAATTAAAATATGGAATCACCCGTTGTTGTGGATAAACCGCCTGAATATCACGGAAGAGCTGCGAATAGTAATCAGGTAGGATTTAGTAATCAATTTACCGGCTAATAGCTTTCAGATTTGACGGTCTTTTTGTTCGATTTTCTATTTAATTTTGTTCGATTATGAAATCTAAAAATAAATAATTGTACAAAGACCTAATTATTAAGAGACCTATTAGTTAAATTATTAGTAAACCTCCAACTACAAAGCAACTACAACCAACAACTGTATCCGATCTTTTCAATAAAGAAATACTTTATTTGCATATTATAGGTATTGTGCTAGGAAAAGGAATCTGTCATTTTTAATTATTTTTAAAATTATTTTCGATTGAGTACATTTATTCAAATTTAAAAATATGTTTTTAATATATTTTTCAAAATTCTTCGTATATTTTTTTAAATAAAAATATAAATACAATTTTCTATGAACTATATTTCTGTCAAATAATACTCAATACAAACAAAAATAAATTTTATTTGACACTGATTCTTCGACCTCGACTATAAAGACAAACGGTTTCGAAAACTTATAATCAAAAAGCTAAAGCTTCTGAAAACCTTATTTAAAATTATTAAACAATAAAATAATACAAATACAAAACACAGCACGCCTGCAATGCATCTTTGCAGTATTGCATGCAACAATTCGGTTTTTTTTTTATGAGAGAGTAAGAAGCTTATAGGCTTAGGTTATTCGTAAGCAACATCATAACCTCAGCTATAAGTTCTTAACACAATTTTTAATTATTAAGAACATAGTACAAATAAGTCTTATTTTGTGACAATCTATTAAATTGAATTTGATGTAATGTAGTGTGATACACTTCAATCTATATTAAATGTAGATTACTGAGCACTTTCTGGCTGGTTGGTGCTCTAATTTTATACCAGAAAGGCTTGATATCAAACTAGCACACAGTCCACCTGAAGGCAAATGAATGCCGTGGCGCCTATATCTATTGTCGATTGAAAATCAAAATGCATAGACATTGTTATTATTACAAAGGGCTTTTTTGTATAAAATTGAAGTTACATACAAACCAACTTACAGGCCAACTGATGGACACCTGCAATCAGCTTCAAATAAACAAGGCTATAGATGTGTTGGCACCTCTGAAGACTAACATGGAATACCTATAATTATACTGGTTTTGGTTAGAGTTCGGATTTACCACGTAAAACAACAAGACTTAACTGTATACCAACATGGATACTAACAAATACAAACACAGCAGTCCACAGCTTCTCTGCCACACCTGAGGAACCTGTTATAACTACATCTATAATGTAATCGAAAACAGCACCCCTTTGCCATAATGCGACTTCGGTTCAAGATTTAGTCTCTTTTTTGTATGTTTGCTTATCAAAGCTGTTTTTTTATTCGTTGTCATACCTAAGAACTTAAAAGCTTACTTGAGTACTATTAGCTTGTTTAAGTTGAGGAGCCTTTGTTGTAACTTTATTTTTGTGTACACCCTTGCCTTAGAAATTGCATGAGTCAATTGTATTGGTAAACATGACTATCGCTATAAGTCTTGTTCTTTTATTAAGTTTCGTATTATCGAACTTTGTGGTCTTCAGCGTAATGTTACGAGACATTTATTAAAATAAAATAAGTTTTGCAAGTTCTACATTGCTCCGAGTACAAGTAAACTTTGTTGTCTTAGTATTGTCTTTAATAATAAAAATTGCTTGCGCATTTTCATCCAATATTCATCGCCGATTTCATTTTTTTGTGTAAAGTTCTCAAGATTACTTTCTGTACCAGAATCATTGACTTATTAAGGGTTTTTTTTCCATTATTTACATGACTCCGAAGTCTAATGTATTTATAAAATTAACTATGTGTAATTTGATATGTTGATTCGTCGGCTGTATTATTTTTTATTTCAAAGTGTTTTTGTGTAAAATTATTTAAGTGCCCATCCTAGAATTTTGCGCTGGTAACCTAACAGCCTGGGGTGGACAGCACATTTTTCTGGAGTAGGCACGGATCACTCGAACGCCATACTGCAATAACAAGATTTTTTATTTAATTCTAAAAGCGGATAGGTATTTGTTTCTATGCTAGTATCGGAATGTAATATATGATCTGTAGTTATTTTAATATTATTCACTTATTTGCACGTAAGCGATCATTTAAAGACTCTCCTGCAGGAGATAATACACTCGTGTCTGCTATGTTTTATCGCTGGAGTGGTTGGCGTTCTAAAAGCGGTTCACCTCTCTTTGCATTGCGAAATGAACCGAGCAACGCGGAACTAAGTCTACTTGAATTCATGCGAGGTGAAATGGAGGAGTGTTTTGAATTTATTGACGTAAGGAAAGTGCCACCTAAATAACTAAACGTTTACAGATTAATGTTCCACCGCGTTCGTGATCTTTTAAGGATACGTAGTAGACGTTAGCCACTGCACTGTATTAAGTTAAGTATGTTTAGGTTATGTCGTATCAGAAGACACTTATAATAATATCCTTGGTTAATGTCTTAACCTCGTTTCTAATGTACAATCGATTCTAATGCAAATTCCACTTTAATTTCCTACAATTTAACCTTGTTTTAATCAACGATACTTTAAGTAAAAAAAAGTGGCGGCGTTAGAATATATACTACCCCATCTCATTTAATATATATATTAAATGAGATGGTCTGCAGCATCTTCATCATAACATCTGAAAATAATAAAAAGTAATTTAGATTACTAACCATTGGCAAATATTCCCCATGAGAAGCAATCTATAGGAGATATAATATGTTCAACAGTAGAATTTTGATAGGCTGTAATGAATTAACGTAAAAAATCAATTTTTTTTATAGAATAAGGGTGATAAACGAGCACACAGTCCACCTGATGGTAAGTGGATGCTGTGGCCCATAGACATTTACATCTATCCTCGATTACGAATCAAAATGCATATACGTTGTTACCCGTGAGGACTAAGATGGAATGCCTCGTTTCCAGTAAAAAGGGTCTCCGTATCTCTACACTCAACAAACGAAACACAGCAGTATTAAGCTGCTATTTTAGGCTATATTCTGTGAGAGCGTGGTCCTTCCCCGGTCGAGCCGACCCATTCGTGGTACTATCATAATATAGCATATAGCGTGGCTCTACCACATAAAAATTCTTCAACTTCTTTATTACTTTAATACGCATATTTTCCGTCACAAACAAACACAGCTTTCTTTCTGTTATTTCGCGATAGCCGCCGAACGTGTAAGTGTTAGAATAGCAAAACCTATATTCTTGTTTTCACAATAAATTAAAAATATATACGGACACTGCAGTTTCATTTTTGTATATCATTAATACATGACGACATTCATAAATTTTTCTTTTTATGTTAACTCCCGTATAATCATAAAGTTTAATTATTTATATCTGTCGTCGTTTTCGTAGTTCATTCACTTTACCACACCAGACCTATAACATTTTGAGACAGTATTTGAAATTATTATTATAGCTTTTCAAAATCTACTGTTATATAAGCTTCTCCGATAGGTTATATCATAGGGGTGATATTTACACTAGTTACCATGCTTGCTTTATCACCACTTACCATCAGGTGGGATAGTAGTTAAGCGCTGGCTTAATAGAAATGGTAAAACAATAACAGGTTAGGCTGGTGTAAGACCTTAGGACTGTGCTCAGTGACCTCGTTAAAAACAAGAATATGACGAAGAACCTGTTCATGTTATTAATTTTAATTCGTTTTTATATATACAAGAGGCAACAAATTGAAATTTTAATCTTTGTTATCAGACCATATTAGACCATAGCTAAGGATGCGAATTTTCCGTTATAGGTAGTATTTTCCTGAATTTGTCACACTTGGCAGATAAATTGACGATCGTCTCGGACCTTTCAAGCTGCTAATCGTCTTCCCCACAGATTGCCTCATATATTATGTGATTTTACCATAGTTGCTTCTATTGGCTGGCGGATTTGTAACCGCAGTTTATTTTAAAAATTATTTTGCGTTGTCATCAGCAAGATGATGCTGCCCATCTCCTGTTTGTCTCCCTCGTACGCCTCTTACGGCACCCACGTTGAAGTAACTTAATGATTTGTTTGTCGTGTGGCGCAAGTTCACGGCTTTGTGAAATTTACGCAGTAGGTCTCGCGCTCGCTAACACGCCACTGTAAACATGTAAGCAAAGTAAGTAATGATGTCATCGTCGTATAGCTTAGATGGCGACGTACATGGACACAAAAGCGGTCTTGAAACGGCTCTTTGGGTGAATGCGTCACAACATTCCACCCACGTACAGTATCTGAATACGATAAGAGTGGCGAAATGTTCTAGACTGTTGCTTTATTTGTTAATTAATAATTATTGTTGATGAATGATTATGACTATATGATTTTCAGACTAAGAAAAAGAACTTATTTCTCGTACGTGAATTAAGTTACTATAAGCGCGTCATTTGCGGGTTGATTGCAGCTGCAATAATCATCATTTCCAGCATCACAGCCCTTCACAAGTCCATTGCTGAACAAAAGTTATTGCTATTGCAGCTGTAATGAACTTACTTAATCTTGCCTTATTTCCTTGACCTTCAAGAGGACGATAAGACTGGTTGCATCGATCCCTCAGTATAAACAACTTTATTATTCTATAGTGATGGCCTCACTTAGTTGAAATTGTCAGGTTCAATGCAAGATTGCAAGAAATGATCGTTCATTTCTATTTGTATGATGACAAAAGCGTCATCGCTTTATTGTCATTCTATATTTAAAGTACTTTTCAGTTAATAAAGTTTACGAAGTTAATATTTTATTTAAGCTATAATCCACGGTTTAACCTCGATGTTTGCGGTTTTCTTATCTGGTACATGGTTTCAGAGATTTCTATTTTAGTAGCCAATGACTTAATTATGTTTATTTTATTGCTTGTAACTCTCATTGCACAAATTAAAACTCTGAGTTTTTAAAGTTGTAAGAAACCCCTAGTTCTTGCGTTTTATTTTTACCTTTTTTTTTTCAAAATCATCATGTAACTGAGAAATTGCAACCATATTCAGAAATAATA